TGTCTGGGGGCTGAGCATCCAGAGCAGACGAAGCAGCAGCGTGTGCAAAGGCCCCGAGGAGAGCGGTGGGGCTAGGTGGCTGGGTGGTCAGTGACCAGCAAGAAGCTGCATGGCTAGAACAGGAAAGGCAGGGATTGTGATGGGAGGCGAGATCGTGGACACAAGCCAGGGCAGGATCGAGCAGGGTCTTGTGAGCAGTTGGCAGTCCATTCTCAGGGCAGTGGGTGCGGGTGCGGGGGTGTGTGTGTGTGTGTATGTTGGGGGGGACTGGGGGGTTCTAAGCAGCAGGGTGGGAGCCTGTGGGTCTCTGGAAGGGTTGTATTGACCACTGTGTGGCGAGCAGCCGTAGGCAGGTGAGAGTGAGTGCCGGTGGGAGGCTGTGCAGTGGCCTAGGCAGGAAATGACGGTGGCTGGGGCCAGCGCGGGGTGGAGGAGGAGAAGGAGGAGGAGGAGGTGACAAGTGGCACTTCCTAGCCCCTGGTGCGTTCTCCCTGCAGCCCGGGGTTCTGCAGGGATGTTCCCTGTCTTGGTCACCCGAGGGTGTATGCCGCTGATCTTGTGAATAATAGGAGCCACTTCAGACATGCCTTCCTCTCGGCCCAGCCCAGATTCCCGTGCCAGCTCTCCCTCACCCTCTGCTATCACTGGGAGTCATAAGACTTTTTTTTTTTTTTAGCGTTTCATCTTGGTCCAAACATGTCCCTTAGCAAATCCACCCTCAGCTAATAGCCCAGGAAAAACGTGGCTCAGTAATGAGGATCAGATTCACATGGGACAGAACCATGTCTGTGGCGGCACGTGGGGCTTATAAAAGTAACACAGCCTCCCGCGCGCCCCAGCGGGGGCGACAGTGATCCTTACAGGGGGGAGGAGTGCACAGCTCATGCCTGCGACACTCTCAGTGGTCTGCTCATCGTAGCTGCCGTTTTCACTATGATTTTACTGTTTTAGGTTCAAGCCATACTTTCTTAAAGCCTAATAGCCTTCAGGAGGCATTCCTGAGGGGGAGAAATCCATTTCCCACCCACTCTCTGTGGGTTTGGGACGCCCTGCCTCAGTCACTCAGCCAGCGGGGCGTTCTTGGAGGGTGTCTTAATTGCGAGGCCGGCCAGGTGCTGGGAAAATCCGAGATATGTAAGACGTGTTCCTTTATATTTGAAACGCAGATAAAGCTTTTTCTTTCTTTTTTTACTTTTATAAAGTAGGGGAGAGACAATCACGTATGAAGCCATTTACATGCTAATTAACTGAAGTTTAGAGGAAGCCTGGTGCTTGTGTTGACAGAGGAAAGAAAGAGAGGGTGAGGGGAGACACCACTGGCTTTTTTTTTTTTTTTTTTTTGTGGGGGGGGTGGGGGTGGGTCATGCTGAAGGGAGCCTGATGGGGGTTAGCTTTGAGGTCCCTGGAGTCAGCATGCTTGTTCTTGTTCCTCCCTGATTTCAAAGATTGTGAAATTGACACAGATGTTAGGGTCTGCAAGAGAGAGGATGGAGATGAGACAGACACATGGTCCTGGGGAGTGCGGGCTTTTGGGAAGGCAGCCTGGGTGACAGGGTGACAGAGGAGACAGCGTGAAGGCGGATGTGTGAGAGAGAGAGAGTTGTGGGGTGGGCAAGACTCGCCAATGCACCATGTCCTAACCCTGTGGTCGGCAGACTGTGGCTCGTGAGCCACATGCGGCTCTTTGGTCCCTTCAGTGTGGCTCTTCCACAAAATACCACAGCCTGGGCGAGTCTCTTTTTGAAGAAGTGGTGTTAGAAGAAGTTTAAGTTTAAAAAAGTTGGCTCTCAGAAGAAATTTCAATCATTGTACTGTTGATATTTGGCTCTGTTGACTAATGAGTTTGTGGACCATGGCCCTAACAGACCAGCCTCCGCTGCCTGCCCTTGGGGCTCTGGTTCAGCAGGAGATGAGTCCCCCCAACCATGTTTGGGGGGCGTTGGCACCTCCTGTTCAGTGAAAGGCAAGGCCAGCAGTCTCAGGGGAGTTTGCAGACCAGTCCCCTTGTTCAATATCAGTTCCACAGAAATGAAAAGGAGTCAGGAGCCTGGAGGTCAGGGTCTCCAGTGCACGGGCTCATGGGAACACATGGGGGCAGATGGGTGGGGTCTGAGGGGCCCTGAGAGCCACAGACGCACCTGAAGGGGTGGCCCCTACTCAGCTCCAGGCGAGATAGGCCTGTGCTGTGGCCAGATCTTCCCATTTCTTACGAGACAGTGAAAATATTAATCTTTATATGAAATCTAATTCAACAATGTTATTTCAGATTTAAAAAGTTACAGGACAGATCAAACATAATGCAGGGGTGGTCAAAAGTATTCTTGCAGTTGAGAGTCCAGAAAACAGAGTTTATCCTGTATTATTATTTATTAAGTATTGTATTATTTTCCCATACAAACAACTGTACACCTACTTTCGCCCACCCTCTATGCCTGCAGGATGGGTTTGGCCGAGCTCCTGCAGACCGGTGTGCTGTCCCATGGCCCGGCCTCCTGCATCCCACACCTCGATGTGGGGTCTGACTTTCAGTAGACCGGGTGGCAGAGGCAGTAAGAGAAGGGGAGAACGGCAGGATGCCTAGGAGAGCTGGAGGGGGTAGGGGAGTAGGGCCGGGAGGCAGCTACCCAAAGCGCCAGCCAGGTGTTTGTGTTTAACTCTGTACCAGATGGGAAGCCACAGGAGGGGTTATGGGACGTCTGTTTTGAAAGCATCCCGCTGGCTGCCCTGTGTAAGGGCAGACTGGTGGTGAGCCGGGCAGGAGGTGGGCCAGGTGAGAGATGATGGGACTGGGGGTGACTGGGGCGGCGGCGGGGGGGGGGGGGGGGTGGGGCGGGGGTAGTGTCCTTGGAGATAAGGGTTGGGTTTGGGTTCCACTGAGCAGGGGGAGCTGCCTGGTTCACTGAGGGTTTGCACGTGGGTGAAAAGAGCAGCGGAAGCCGGGGCTGCTCCTTGGTGTTTGGTGGAAGAACTGGCTGAATTCTCGGGCGATTGCTGAGCTGGGAACGTGGGAGACGTTTCAGAAGGTGGGACATGTTCACTCTGAGGTGCCTGTTGGATACCCAGATGGAGACGTTGGGCGACAGTGGAATGTCTGAGCCCAGATTCCAGGGGACAAGTTTAGGCTGTAGGTAAAAATGAGCTTTAAACCAGAGGGGGAAGGGGCCGATGTGAAGGGGTCTCGGGACTCAGAGCCGCCTGCATTGGAGCTGAGGGCAGGACGGTGCTCCTCAGATATTTGTGTTTCCGGTAGAACCAAGCAGTTTCCCAAAGGAACACACTGGAGTGCTGTTATCCGGAGAAGGGGGAACGGGCTTCTGGGACTTCTTTATACTCTGACCGTCAGAAAGCGCTTCCCAAGACTCCGAAGCCGGGCCCAGGCCCCTGGGATGGAGTCTGAGTTTAACCAGGGGCCCTCACGCCTGGCCGCACGGTGGAAGGCTCTGGAAGCTTCTACAGAACCCGGAGGCCCAGGCCCCGCCCTCAGACTCTCTGACCATCACTGGCCTCAGGCGTGAGCAGCTCTCCGGGGGAGTCTCGTGTGCGGCCTGGGGTAAGGACCACTGGGGCTTGGTTCTGGACAGTGGTGGGCAAACTCATTAGTCCACAGAGCCAAGTGTCAACAGTCCAACGACTGAAATTTCTTTTGAGAGCCACATTTTTAAGTCTAAACTTCTAACGCCACTTCTTCAAAATAGACTCTTCCAGGCCGTGGTATTTTGTGGAAGAGCCACACTCAAGGGACCAAAGAGCCGCATGTGGCTCGCGAGCCGCAGTTTGCCGAACATAGGATAGCGCTGGGCTTTTAGACAGTGCCCCTCCCAGTGTGCCTGTCCCTGACACTCACCTGGGATGCTTGCTTACAAACACACATCCCTGAGCCTCCTCTCAGAACTCCTCTCAGAACACACATCCCTGAGCCTCCTCTCAGAACTGGCTGATGGTGGAGCTGGGGGGAGAGTGTTCTGCAGCGGAAACCCCCCCAAAAGCAAAAGCCAGCAGGAGCTGGGAGTGGTGCAGGCTGGGCCCGCCCACCTGCTCTGAACCAGCATCAGGTGTATTGCTGCCCAGGGCCCCCTGCTGCCCCGCCCTCCATGCCCAGCCTGCACCACTCCCAGCTCCTGCTGGCTTTTGCTTTTTGGGCGGTTTCCGCTGCAGAACACTCTCCCCCCAGCTCCACCATCAGCCAGTTCGTCCCAGTGTCCCCTTCCCAGAGAGGCCCTTGGCGACCACAGAGATGACTGATCCTCCCCAGCCCCAGCCATTACCCCACCGCCCTGCTGAGGTCTCTCCCGGGCCTCCCAGGAGGTGGTCTTCGCTCCCTGTGCATCTCCCTCATGGCTCTCCCCCGACCAGAACCAGAGCTTCTCCGGGGCCGTGCCCCCCTCCCCCCCCCTCCCGTATGCTGGGTGCCTGGCACCTGGGGCACGGTAGGCGGCCAGGCGGTCCAGGTGGGGCTTGTGCTCAGAGTTCTGATTCTTTCCCAGGTGTTTGCGTTTAACTCTATACCAAATGGGAAGCCACAGGAGGGGTTGTGGGACGGCTGTTTTTAAAGCATCCGCTGGCTGCCCTGAGTAATGGAGTTAGGGGCATGTAGGTGAGAGCTAGGTGACCAGCGCTGTGGGCACAGAGGCACAGGGGGTCCAGATCTGCCCCCTGAAGAAGAAAAGCGGGAAGCCAGGGATCCCCTGGTCACACCGGGCAAAACTTAGGTGGCAGCAGCTTTCTTTCTGGTGGGGATCCTGGATCCCGCAGGGCCAGCAGGCTCACCCGCCGGGGCGGTGGGGCGGGGGGAGAGGGAGGGGGTGGTGGATGGCAGGGGCGCCTAAGCTGGGGGCCAGGGCGAGCGCGTGGCCTCCTCCCTAGGGCGCCGGCCAGCCCCGCCACCCGCTTCTCCCTCCCTCCCTCCCTCTGCCCTCCCCCTCCCTCCCCGGCCTGGGTGGCGCCCCGCCCCGCCGGCCCGGCCGCCTGTCCCCGCCCCCGCTCCCGGGGCTGCAACAGGTGCCTCCCGAGCAGGAAGCTCGCGCTGCGCTGCTGCTGGGCTCCCGCGCGTCCAGACCCACTGAGCCCGGCGCCATCCCGGCCCGGGTCCCTCCGAGGACAGTGACCGCCGCTCCGCCGGCTCTCCGCCGCCCCCTGCACCGGGCACCCCGGCGGGGCCCGGGAGAAAGCCGCCGCCCTCCCCCGGCCGGCCCGCAGCCCTCCCGCCGCCGCGCGCGCCATGGAAGCCCCAGAGCAGCAGCCGGACCCCGACGGCGGGGACGCCCTGGGCCCCGAGCCGGGGGGCAGCCCCCAGGACGAGCTGGACTTCTCCATGCTCTTCAACTATGAGTATATGGACCCGATCGGAGGTCGGTGGAGGCCCCCCGCCCCCACCGGCCTGGCCCCCCTCCCAGTGGGGGCTTGGCCTGCGGGGTGGGGGTGGGCCAGGCCCCTGAGCTCCAGATGTCACTCTTCTGGGGGCTCGGGGAGGGGGTGTCTCTCCCCGGGGAGAGGGAGGGCAGGAGGCCAGGCACTGCTGCCACCCTTAGGGGGCAGTCGGCTCACTTTGTCCCATGGGGTGTCAGCTTCCAATTCCGGTGACCTCCCTGCGGGAGGGAGGGGTGGCACAGGGTGGCAGGGGGCGCAGCTGGCCTCCTGCCTGCTGCTGGGTAGTGTGTGTGTGTGTGTGTGTGTGTGTGTGGGGAGGGGGGGGGGGGGGGGTGGGCAAGGGAGCCATTGGTCTGCCTTGGGAGGGAGGAGGGAGGAAGCCAGAGCATGGAGGTAGTGGGAGGGGCGGGTGCCCAGGCGTGGCCGCTGAAGCTCAGGATGGGGCAGGTGAAAGCGGGTCCCCTCCCTGCAGGCACCCAGGGAGGCCGAGGGTTTGTTGGGGACTTTGTGTTGAAACGAAGGAAGAGGTTGTCTGTGTCTAGTGCTGGAGTGTGGTTTGCCTTCACTGTCGCGAGGCGGGCCCATTTCCTCCCGGGGGTGCTGCTGCCTTCGCCCATCACCCAGCGGCCAGTGGGCGCCTATTCACGCCCTCGGCACCCCGCAGTCACAATAGATGTGGGGGTGAGCAGGGAGCGGGGCGGGGCAGCTGGCGGTGGAGCCCGCACCTGTCAGCTTGCGCCTTCAAGTGCCTCTGCTCCCCCCCCTCCCCCCCCCCCCCCCCGGGGTGGCCCTGCTGGGCTGTCACTTCAGGTGGTTAACAGGAGCTTCTGCAGAAGGAGGGGGAGGCCGCACACCGACCTCACTGTGTGTTTCTGGTTAGCAGGTTGTCTTGGAAAAAAAACAAAAATCTAACTGGGCTTCCTGATTTTGACAGCCCGGCCCAGCCCAGCCCATCCTGGTTGAAGCCTCAGGGGCAGGCTTGCTGGTGACTTCAGCGAGTCACGGGGGCTGCTGCCTGCGGAGGCAGGCAGGGCTGTGGGCTGGTTTGTGTAGGTGGCCTTTCCACGGGCCTAGGCCGTGGGGGTCGGGCGTGGAGGGGGGGCTCGCTTTGGTCCACAGATGCTTGTTGGGCGGGTGAAGGAGAAGTCTGCTCTTCCCTTCCATGCGCCTTCACTGGCCACCTCAGGTGAGGGGCTTGCTTCCACCTCAGGGATTCCCTGAGTAAAGACAGTAATTAGTAATTATTCTATATTTTGGCTGGAGATGGAAATAATTAGCCAGAAGAGAGACCAGCCTTCTTGAGTTGCAATCTGGAGCCCATCCTTTGCTTTGAAAAGATACGATTAAGAATCTGCAAATGATCCCTCGAGCATCAGTGGTCTTTCTGTTCGAGAAGATTAAAGTCATGTTTTGCAGGGAACTAACGCACCCCTCCCAGATCCACAATCAGCTAGCCTTTTTTTTTTTTTTTTTTTTTTTTTTTTTTTTTTGGCAGGGGGGTGATTTCCGGGGAAATAGTTCCCAAGCCAAATCTAATGGGAGGTGCTTTTTATAGTTTTTCTTGGCAGTGGGACTTGGTGGCCGCCAGACGGGTGTCTAAATGACCACAGTGAAGCCCCGAAATCTGTGTGTGTGTTTTTTTTAAAGTTTATTTTTTTGGAACAGTTTTAGATTTACAGAAAAATTGTAAAGATGATAGAGTTCCCATATATCTAGCAGCCAGTACCCCATATTATTAATATTCTACATTAGTATGTATTCATATTGTTATCATTAATGAGCCAGTAATGATAAATAAATATTATGACCTACAGTCAGTCCTCTATTCAGAGTAGAGGAGCACTGATCAGGTGTATTGTAGAATGTCCCACAGCGTGTTTGTCTCTTGGTTAGACAGGAGCTATGAGTTTGGGGGAGGGAGACCATAGAGGTCGTGACCTTTGCTGTCACATCCTCACTAGATTTCAACATGACTTACCCCTGTTGATGCTGACCTTGGTCATCCAGCTGAGGAAGCATTTGTCTGGCTTCTCCACTGTCAAGTTACTCTTTTCCGACGCGTACTCTTTGGAAAGAAGTTCCTATGTGCCACTGATGAGGGGTTGTGCTCTGGCACCTGTGAGAGAGGGGCTCCTCGCTGGGAAGTAGGCGGCATAGAGACATCATGGCTGGAAGGGAACCCTGAGAGGCTCAAGTGAGCTGATCCAGATGTGGGTGAGGCTCTGGCTCACCCAGATGTTCACAGGGGTCCCCTCTCTCTGCTTTTGCATAGTGGCACTCGCCAAGGGCCAGCACTGACCCTGCTCTTGCTATTGAGCTTTGTCCCGATGACAATATAATGGTGACGCATGGGAGGTGTTATCCTTAACTCTGGGCATGAGCTTGGCAAAAACCAAGGGAGGAGAAGGACTGCGAGTGGGACGGACATCAGAAATTGGTGAAGGTACTAGGGCCGTGGTCGGCAAATGATGGCCTGTGAGCCACATGAGGCTCTTTGGCCCCTTGAGTGTGGCTCTTCCACAAAGTACCATGGCCTGGGCGAGTCTATTTTGAAGAAGTGGCGTTAGAAGAAGTTTAAGTTTTAAAAATTTGGCTGTCAAAAGAAATTACACTCGTTGTACTGGTGATATTTGGCTCTGCTGACTAATGAGTTTGCCGACCACTGTACTAGGGAATTTGGGCTCATTTTATGGAAATTTGGCAGGTAGCAGATGTTTATTAGCTCATGTAGTAACTCCTCCAACCCTCAGGTGGGCACAATGTCACCCTCGTTCACAGAGGAGAACGCTAAGGCACAGAGAGGGAAAGGAATCCTCTCAACGAGTCAGAGCTGGTGAGCAGCAGAACTGAAATATGAACCTGGCATCCTGCTCCAGAGCCTACATTCTGGAGGGGCCTTGGCCCCTCACTGGATGGGATGCACATGTAACACAGTTGTAAGGGGGCCCTGCATGGCAAGGCTGGGATTTGAGACATTTACCAACAGTGATCTTGGTAAGTCATTCAACATCTCTGGACTTCTGCTCGTCAGTCAAATGGCGAGAAGTATTAATACTTCCCTCATAAGGTTATTTGCCCATTTAAAACAACCAACAACCCTAAACGGTTTGGCTCAGTGGATAGACCGTTGGCCTGCAGACTGAAAGGTCCCAGGTTTGATTCTGGTCAAGGGCATGTACCTTGGTTGCAGGCACCAGTAGGGGGTGCAACCAGTTGCAGGCACCAGTGCAGGAGGCAGCTGATCGAAGTTTCTCTCTCATCGATGTTTCTAAATCTCTATCCCTCTCCCTTCATCTCTGTACAAAACCAATAAAATATATTTAAAAAAATAAAACTATCAACAGTATGATTTGCTACCAGCATTTTGTTAACCCCTGGATTTTGTTAATAGAGGTGCACTATTCATTTACTCATCCAACTACCTACTGAGGTACATCCTGGGGACATAATAAGACCTGGCCCCTCCCATCCCTGAGCTAGAGCCTCTGATTGCTTTCTCTTGTCCAGCTGCATTGTCTGATAGCTTCAGTAGCAAGCTCATAGTAAGAGAATGCTAGGCAGCCTTCCTTGTTTCTAACCCCAGCAGGGGACTCTCTATTGGCTTTAGGACTGAGGTGGATCCATTTAATTATGCCAAGGAAGTATCCATCCATTCCTATTTTCTTGAGGGTTTTGATTAGGAATGGGAGTTGAATTACATCAGAAGCTTTTTAGCATCTATAGAAAAATATGATTTTATTCTTCTTAGATCTATCAATATGTTGACTTCCATGGAAATATCCACTTGGTTACTATGTGTTACTTTCTTACGGTGGTGGGACCTGCATTGGTTTGATAAGATTGAAGACTTCTTTCAGCAGTATTCACGACTCGTATTTGTCTGTAATGTCCTTTTTGTGTGTGCTATTAGGTTTAAGCATCGTTTGGTTTCTGTGCTCAGTGACAATGTATTGTTGGGACCACTCAGTTTTTAAAGTTGTGATAACATTTCCCTGTGAAGCCATCTGGACCTAGTGCCTCTTTATGGAGTGGTTCCATGGCCACTTTATCTATGGTTTCTGTGGGAAATAGTCTATCTACACTGTCTATTTCTACTGGAGTCAGTTTTGGTAAACTGTTATCTTTCAGAGCAATGATCCTTTTCATCTATCTAGATTTTCAAGTTTATTTGCCTGGAGTTATGCCAAGTAGATTCTTATTTTTTTTCTGCTGAGGGAGATAGCTTAGTACATCGTCACAGAATGAATGGGGACAGGACTGTGGGCGTCCTGACTTAACCTTAGAAGGAGAGTGTGTTGGCCTTCAGATAGATCAGAAGTTCAATTCCTTGTTGTGCTTGTGGAGTCAATGAATTCTTGCTTCTCCCAACCATAATTCATTGGGAGAGACAGGTAGGTACTGGGAATCCCCTGTCCTCTCCAGGGGGACCAGCTTTCTCCTGGGACTGATATGTGGGAGTGCTCATTTCTGCTCTGCCTTAGTGCTCCCGGTATATCCCTGCTTCGATTCCCGCTGAGCTAATGCATGTGTCTCTGACTTTGCCCTTTCGGAAAGGACAACAGACTCCTGGTCCTTGCTCGTAAAGTCTATTCTGGGGATCCTTAAACTTTCTGGGTCACAGCCCTTTACAAAGCTGATCCTATATGCATGCACACTGCCGGAGCACCTGTCCCAGTGTGCTTTGCCTGCCAGTGCCTTTTTATTTGGTGGTTGTTGTTCATCCTCACCAAGGATATTTTTTCCATTGATTTTTAGGAGAGTGGAAGGGAGGAAGGGTGGGAGAAACATCAATGTATGAGAGAGACACATTGATTGGTTGCCTCCCTCACTTACCCCAATGGGGGCTGGGGGTCAAACCTACGACCCAGGTATGTCCCCTTGACCAGGAATTGAATCCAAGACACTTTGGTGCATGGGCTGATGCTCTAACCACTGAGCATACTGCCCAGGGCTTACTGCCCTTCATACCATTTTCAGGGAG